AGAGGTCTGGGCGCCGAGAGGTCTGGGTGCTGAGGTCTGGGCGCCGAGAGGTCTGGGTGCTGAGGTCTAGGTGCTGAGGTCTGTGTGCTGAGAGGCCTGGGTGCTGAGGTCTGTGTGCTGAGAGGTCTGGGTGCTGAGGTCTTGGTGCTGAGAGGTCTGGGTGCTGAGGTCTAGGTGCTGAGGTCTGTGTGCTGAGGTCTGTGTGCTGAGGGGTCTGGGTGCTGAGGTCTAGGTGCTGAGGTCTGGGTACTGAGAGGTGTGGGTGCTGAGGTCTGGGTGCTGAGGTGTGGGTGCTGAGGTCTGTGTGCTGAGAGGTCTGGGTGCTGAGGTCTAGGTGCTGAGGTCTGGGTGCTGAGGTCTGTGTGCTGAGAGGTCTGGGTGCTGAGGTCTGGGTGCTGAGGCCTGGGTGCTGAGGTCTGGGTGCTGAGGTCTGTGTGCTGAGAGGTCTGGGTGCTGAGGTCTAGGTGCTGAGGTCTGGGTGCTGAGAGGTGTGGGTGCTGAGGTCTGGGTGCTGAGGTCTGGGTGCTGAGAGGTCTGGGTGCTGAGGTCTGGGTGCTGAGGTCTGGGTGCTGAGAGGTGTGGGTGCTGAGGTCTGGGTGCTGAGAGGTCGTCTGTGTTCTGAGAGGTCTGGGTGCTGAGGTCTGGGTGCTGAGGTCTGTGTGCTGAGAGGTCTGGGTGCTGTGAGGTCTGGGTGCTGAGAGGTCTGGGTGCTGAGGTCTGGGTGGGTGCTGAGAGGTCTGGGCGCCGAGAGGTCTGGGCGCCGAGAGGTCTGGGCGCCGAGAGGTCTGGGTGCTGAGGTCTGGGTGCTGAGGTCTGTGTGCTGAGAGGTGTGGGTGCTGAGGTGTGGGTGCTGAGGTCTAGGTGCTGAGGTCTGTGTGCTGCTGAGGTCTGGGTGCTGAGGTCTGTGTGCTGAGAGGTCTGGGTGCTGAGGTCTAGGTGCTGAGGTCTGTGTGCTGAGAGGTGTGGGTGCTGAGGTCTGGGTGCTGAGAGGTCTGTGTTCTGAGAAGTCTGGGTGCTGAGAGGTCTGGATGCTGAGAGGTCTGTGTTCTGAGAGGCCTGGGCGCTGAGGTCTGGGCGCCGAGAGGTCTGGTTGCCGAGAGGTCTGGGTGCTAAGGTCTAGGTGCTGAGGTCTGTGTGCTGAGAGGTGTGGGTGCTGAGGTCTGGGTGCTGAGAGGTCTGGGTGCTGAGAGATCTGGGTGCTGAGATCTGAGTGTGGATCTTCCTGCCCCTGTCTTAGACTTCCTGCCCTGTCCGTCCTGTCCTACTAACCTGAGAAGGCCTGGGCAGAAGTGTGTGACCTTGTGGGTTAATCTATGTTACCATGAGGAGACAAGAGAAGGCGAAAGCTTGCCAGTGTATGTCATGTCTGGGGAAGGACCATAAGCTCTGGGCCCTAGGCCTGGGGGTTTGTGTTGTTGGAGTGGTGAGATTCATGGAGAAAGGGCTGTGACTGTGTCTGAACGGGCGGAGCTGAGTGTTGCCCTGAAAAAGTCTCCCTGCATTTTCCGACGGCCACACCAGGAGGCAGGGCACCCACCAGGTGGGGGTCGGGCACCCCTCCCCTCGGCACCGGCCTCCCTGGACTGCGTGGAGGCCCCTCCACCCCTCACAGGGCAGAGCACCCACCGTCAGCACCGCAGAGGCCCTACCCGCCTTGGGGACACTCGTCATTGAAGGGCACAGGAAGGAGCTGAACTGACCCAAGCCTGCGTCCCGAGTGCAAACATGACTTAGACGCAGGTTTGGAAGTCGGCTGCTGCCCTCAGTCTGGGTGTGTGGCGGCCCGAGTGCGGATTTGACTTAAATGCAGGTTTAGAAGTCAGTTGCTGCCTGCAATCTGGGCGCCTGGTGCCTCACGGCCGTCCCCATGAGGTCCAGGTCCTGACTGTGCTTCCAAAAGGTGCTTGAGTGTCTGCCTGTCCTCAGTGGAATATCCAGGAGGGAAAATTCCTTTGTGTCGTGTTAGAGAATGGGAGAAGTTTGGGCTGCTCTAGCTACAGAAGCCACCCCAGGAACACCAGCCCTGATCCTTACTGTGCACCCCAAAACCCCAGATCCTCTCAGGGACAACCCTGGGCTCCATGGCACCCAGCGCTTCACACTCCTGGCACGCGCCCCTAAATCGCTTGTCCAGGTAAGAAGCAGTCGCCCTCCGCGTGGGGCCTGGTGACACGTGTCCGAGCGTTGCAGCTTCTGCTGACCGAAGGTGTTTTTCGGAAGCGATTCGGTTGTGTGAGTGAAGAGCCAAGAAAAGATGGTCCTCACCCCTGTCCTAAGAGAATATTTCAAAGCATGAGAATTGACGTGTTGGTGATGTAACAAAACAGGAAGCCAGGGCGCCCCCGAGCGTCCAGCTAGGGGCTGGCGAAGGACGTCACCTTCTGTCCACTTGATTGATGAGATGTGGGGAACCATAAAATGTTGGTGATTC